AAGTGTTCAAAGCACCAGGATTGTCATACGCCATGTTCCTTTTGCCAAACCAGTTCTCAACCCCTAGATTAGCTAATTCTCAACCTTCGAGTCTCAGCTCAATGGCAGTCTCTCCCCAGACTGGAAAAAAAAGTGCACTATAATCTCCGGAAACCCTCTGCACCTTTTCTGTACGGTACTGATCATGGGTGTAATTTTTTTCTTTTTACAGCTCTATTGAGGCATAATTTACATACCATAAAATTTGTCCATTGTAAGTGTACAACTCAATGACTTTTTTGGTAAATGCTAAGTTATGCCACATCACCACAAAATTTCTGTCACTCCCCAAAATTCCCGTGAGCTAATTGGCAAGCAATTTCCATTCCCAACTTTAACTTTTCTGGATATATCATATAAATAAAATCACATAAATGGAATCAGATAGCACGTAATCTTTTGCATCTGACTTTGGGCTTAGCACAGTAATTTTTAAGCAGGGGTGACTCTGGCCTCCAGGAGACATTTGACAATAATTTGGAGATATATTTGGTTGTCACAGCTGGGAGGGAGTAGAGGCTGGGGATAACACTAAACATCCTGCTCTGCACAGCATGGCCCCCTACAACAGAGAATTATCCAACCCAAAAGGTGCCAAGGTTGAGAAACCCTGACTTAGCCTAATATTTTTGAGGTTCATCCATTTTGTAATGTGTATCATCATTTCGTTCCACTATTCTACTTTCTGTCTCTATGAATTTGGCTATTCTAGGTATCTTATATAAGTGGAATCATACATATTTGTCCTTTTATGACCGGCTTATATTTACCTAGCATTATGTCTTCATGGTCCATTCTAGTAACCTTTATCAGAATTTCATTCCTTTTAAAGGCTGAATCTAACTCCGTTGTGTGTATACCACAAAATGTTTATCCATTCATCCATTGATGGACTTGAGTTGCTTTTTGGGGAAAGGATTTGTTGACCTCCATGCTGCATCATTCTGGAAATGAATCTCCGCAGGCATAATTATATATTTATCTGTATATTACTAGATTAATGACTACCTCCCACATTAGACAAGCTCCATGAGTGGAAAAATGAGGGGTTTTTTGGTTGTTTTTGATCACTTTGCCCCAACACCTGGTAGTAGGCACTCAGTGAATACTTGTTGAATATATGAATATTTAAGGTATGGACCCAGATGACCCCACCCCCATCCATTTTAAGCAGGAAGAGTCAAGGACAAATGTGCTTTAGGAAGAAAAAGAATTGCCAGTATTTACTGAGCTCAGCTCCATGCCAAGCTTTTCATTGCCTCACCCCATTTAATCCTTACAACAAACCTTCTGAATGTACAACGAAATCACATTTTAAGGCCAAGAATGGGAGTTAAGTTCTAAAGTTGTTAGCACAAAAGGCAAAAATTGGTATAATCAAAATGACCTAATCTGAACACTCACTCAAGTAAGATGCCTTTCGTTGCATGCTCACCTTGGAATGCATGCATGGCCGTTGGGTGGAATGGTAGGGAATTTATAAACTACCCTTTCATCCCCATCACCTATGTTTGACTTGAAGTTAGCTAACAGGATGTGACTCCACTTGACTGGTTTCATCCACGCTTTAAGGATGAAGAAGCGGGGATGCGAAGCGGTACGCAGAGGGGCAGAGTATAGGCAGGGACACAGAAGATGTCCAGGAATCCTGGCAGGCAGTGGGGAGGGAGGTCTGGAATGAGGCAGGGGCTGGAGGGCACTGTCTGGAGCACGGACAGGATCGTGGTGAGGGCTGCTGATTCTTTGGGCAGCCAAAGGGTAGCGGGCTGGACCCCATTCCACATCTCTCTCTCATTCCCGGCCATTCCCCACCTGGTCAACTCACCTGCTTCGAGGGCTCTAGGTTTCTCAGCGCAGTTCCCTCCGCGGTGCCTGCGTTGCTAGGTTACCCGCCAATCACTGAAAGAGGGACTCGGCACCTGACTGACTTTCCTTTTCACCATTCAATTTCTTGTTCCTCTCAGTTCGCCCCACCTCCTGTGGCCTGACCAATCAGAAGCACCGCCTCTCTGACCCTCCACCAATTGAAAGACCCGGGACTTTCTCTGGGTTGGGCTGAACGAGTAAGGCGGGGAGGGTGGGAGGAGAAAGGGGCAGAGCTTATTTGTTCCGCCCCTTCCCAAGGAGGTGGGCAGGGAGTCCGGCAACGGCAGCGGGAGAGAACTGGGGAAGGACGTGAGGCTTGGCCAATCAGAGCTCATCATGCAGCCTAGGTAGCCAATAGGTCGCCGCAAAGGGGAAAGGGGGCGGGGCCGGCGGGGTGGAAGGGACGGTAGGCGGTGGACGGGAGAGCTGGCGCAGCTGCTGTGGTGGCAGCGGCTGAAGTGGCGGCGCCTGCTGTGGCTGCAAGAGCTCCAGGCTCGGGGCTTTGGGCGCGGCGGCACGCGCGGGCTGGGCTGCGCGGTGCGGACCCCGGCGCGCGGTCCGGGTTGCTGGGGCGGCGCGTGTAAGAATCCGAGGGGTGCGAGCGATGGCCTGACGGAGAGGGCAGGGGCTAGGGGTCAGAGGGCGCGGAGTGAGGGGTTGCCGCTGTGCACTGGGCTGTGGGAGGCGGGCAGGGCGGGCCCAGACGGGCTGCGGGGAAGTCATCGCCGCGCTCTTGTCCCCTCAGCCCGGGCCGGGGCTTGGCGCCCGCTCTCCTGCCTCCCGGCTTCCTGAGGCGACCCCCACGCGGGGGCCCCGACCAGGGCTGGGGAGCACGTGGAGCTGGAGCCCGCATTCCTTGTCCCCCACCCCACCCCGCCATCTGCTCAGCTCCCGGGCTCCCTGAGGCGCCCCACCCACGGAGACTCGTGCCCGGGTCACGGATGGCTGCTGGCCCGCTTTCCTGGGACCTGTCCCCACGAATGACCCTTCCCTTCTGGGTCCTCTACAGAGGGAGAAGCAGAGCCCGCGGGAGGAGCGCTGGGCTAGGACTCAGGAGTCCTGCACTGTGTGACCTTGGGCAAGTCCCTTCTCCCCTCTGGGCCTCACTTTTTCCTCTCTGCAAAATGATGGGCTTGAACTCAAACTGGGGGCCTGGTTCTGCCAGGAGGGAGAGGGTAATGGTTAAGTGGGGAGGGCCCCTGAATTCAGACTGCCCGCGGGAAATCTGGGCTCTCCTACTTGCCTGCTTGTAAGTTAACCCCTCTAAGCCCCAGTTTTCCTCGTCTGTGAAGTGGGGATATGAGCTAAATAGGATTTCTCAACAGCAGTGCTATTGACATTTGAGCCACATATTTCTATATTGTGATAGGTCTCGCTTGTGCATTGTGGGATGGATGTTTAGGGGCATCCCTGCCCTCTGCCTACGAGCACCCCCACCCCCTAATTATGATAATCAAAAATGTCTCTGTAGGTTGCTGGTATCCCCTGGGGAGCAAAGTCACCCGGGTCGAGATCCACAGAGCTAAGATACTGCATATGCATTGCAAGCGAACGGTCACAAATTAAACAGTTAAAAATAAAAACCTCTAGCCATTATGATAACAGCGATAAAAATTTAGAAACCTCTTCTCGGTGAGACGAGAAGATTGATTGATTCTCTCGCCTGTAAAATAAACATGGGAGAGGATGACAAGACGTTAATTGTCAAAGCTGAGTGATGGATACAAGGAAGTTCCTTTACATATTCTCTCTATTTTTGAGTGTATTTGAACATACCTGGTGGTAAAAAGTTAAACCAAAAAGAAAATAAGTAAAACATAAAATTCTTAAGACAGGCCGAATAGTAGTGTCTCATTTGGGATTTCCTTTTTTGTCTCTCCATTATTGAGATTGCAAAGTAAAAGTAATCCCCAGACCTGGGGGAAACTTAAAAAAAGTCTCACAGGAAGTTGAGAGCAGAGAGCGACAGGCCCAGCAAACAGAATGATGCTCACTTTCGCTGCCTAGTTTTAAGAAGATACTGACACATAGGAACTTGCTCTGGTGATGTGTGAAAGATGCAAATTGCCAGGTTGCCATTTAGTGGGTGAGTTTGGAGGCCGACTTGATTGAGCCCAGAAGGCCTCAGCTTGAGGAAGGAACCTGCTGCTGTTTTCAAGTTCAAAGGTCTGCTGCCAGATCTGCTGAGTCTTTACTTTGCATTTGGCCCTGCTCAGCGGAAATGGGAATGTGTATAAATAGGAACTGTAACAGGCTAGTTCTGAGTGTTTTAAAATTGGGAGTCCAGGATGAGCGCTTTTGCTGTGTGACTCTGGACGTCATTTTAAAAAATACTCTTCTCCTTCCTCCTAAAACACCAAAATCTAGGAGAATAATGCCTATATAAGAATGATATGGGCACGTGTAGGTGATCTGGCACACGACCTCTACACGTCATTGAAGCTAGGTGCTATGTAAATACCAAGGCTGGGTCTTGGAGAAATTGTAGTGTAGTGGATAGGATAACGGGTCTGGAGCTAGATTGTGTAGTACCCAAAGTTTGGCTTTCTAGCTCTGGGTTCTTGGGCAAGTTCCTTAATCTCTCTGAGCCTAGAGTCTCCCACTCTGTAATGGGGGCTAATGATCCTACTTACTCTTACGAAGTTTCAATCAGGTTTACTTAAAAATTGTTGGAAGAGCCCCTGGTACATAGTAAGTGCTCACTGAGTATGAACTACTATTATTTTAATGGTTGTATTTTTTTTTTTAAATCTTTAAGATCTTCATAGAACACATAAACAAGGGTAAAGAGAGATGGAGGTAGAACATATTAGCCATAATCTCAATCTCCAGACATAATTATGCTTAAATTTTCAGTATTTGTTCTTACAGAGTTTCCCCCCCAATATTTTAATGCTATTACTGTAATACTCTTTATTGAGATATAATTCACATACCATAAAGAATCCACCATTTTAAAAGGTGCAATTCAGTAGTTTTTGGTACATTTGCATGGTTATGCAACTGTTGCCACTCTCTAATTCCAGAACATTTTCTTCAGTAGTGGTTGTGTTTTGATAATCGTTTTTCTCTTTTTATCCCCCAAACCCTAGAAGATGCCTCTGATGGAGGAGTTTCTGAGAAGCACCTCTGGGCCAGTGGCTTTGAAAGGGAGCTCAAAGCAGAGGCTATTTAAAGCTCTGGACATCGCATCCTGAGGGCTGCAGGAGAGGAGAGCATGGCCGTGAGTTTAGATGACGACGTTCCCCTCATCCTGACCTTGGACGAGGGTGGCAGTGCCCCACTAGCTCCCTCCAACGGCCTGGGCCAAGAGGAGCTGCCTAGCAGAAGTAAGACTGTGGGGTGCGCTGGGGACGGGGTACAGCTTTTCTGTTTCAGGGGGTGAGCTATGGGCTTGGTGGTCTGGTAGTAGATGCGTGTATTCTAATGCCTGGCCCTACATCTGACCCCTAAGTTCTGACACAAACTACTGGCAGGCCATGGAGTCCTAATCTTGCATCCCCAGCTTAGGGATGCTTCCAGGGAGTGAGTAGCCTGCCCTCCCGGGGCTCTCGCCTCTCTCAGGGCCTTACCTCCCTTGCACTTGAGGTACCCTGCTTTGTTTGTGGATGCTTACTGGGGACCTCAGGCAAATCTGCTCTTTGGCTAGCTTCCCTGCCCCATTCCATGTTAAAAAAAGAAACCGATTTCAACACCAGCCTCCTCTGTCCAACCTGAAACTCTTGGCAGGGAAGCAGAGATGACTGCTTCTCCACGGTAGAGCTCAGTCCCTGCATTGCCCAGGACAGGGTGGGACGGGGGCAAGCATTTGCCGTGATCCATTGATTTGAGGGTTTGGGGTTTTGCTTTGTCTTCCTCTTAAACCAGCGCCTAGCACAAAGTGAGCCCAAGAGAGGCGAGCTTTGAATTTGTTACATTTTAATTGTGTTTCTGGCAGAATGAGAGACCTTAAAAAGCTTTCTGGTCCTTGTCCCGGAGCCATTTCCCTCATAAACCCAGGCCTTAGGTTCCAGGAAACTTAAAATAACTTTCATTTTGTGGAGGGTCCTAAGATGTCAGGGACTAACGCTTTAGGATCTCCTCACCAAATGGATGTTCCATCTGCTGGCCATGCTCCTGAGCCAGGACAGAGGGGTACTGCTGTCCTCCTGTTCACAAATGAAGACACTTGAGTCCAGGGAAAGACGAGCCTGGCTCTCCCGTCTCCTTTGTCCAGAGAGAACACAGTTGAGTCGCAGGGAGCTCCGCAGCCTCCCCTTGGAAGTGATGAAGGACAGCAGTGTTCCTGTGGATAGGAGTGCTGTGGGAGGCCTGGCTCCCTATAAACTGGCCTCTCCTTGCTTCGGCATGTTCACCCCACTTAGAGTGGTAGAGCTGGGTGGTCCAGGGAGGTCCGAATAGAAATCAGATTCTTCCCTAAGTGCCATTCAGGGTGGAGAAATCAGTGGCTCTGATTTCAGGCTCACTTCTTTTTTTTTTTTTAAAGATTTTATTTATTTATCTGACAGAGAGAGACACAGCAAGAGAGGGAACACAAGCAGGGGGAGTGGGAGAGGTAGAAGCAGGCTTCCTACAGAGCAGAGAGCTGGATGTGGGGCTCGATCCCAGGACCCCGGGATCATGACCTGAGCTGAAGGCAGACGCACAATGACTGAGCCACACAGGCACCCCTCAGGCTCACTTCTTACATGCCCTAGAGCTGGCAAGCTAAGTATTAGGCTCTTTCTTATCTGTTATCTTAACTAAGATCCTTTTGTAGGGTAGGCAGTATTATCCCTATTTGACAGAGGAGGAAACCATGAGTCAGAGAGGTAAAATAACATGCCCAAGGTCACACAGCCAAGCAAGTGGTTGAGCATAGATTTGAACCCAGGACTGTTGACTCCCCTCCCCCTCCTCCCTTTTTTGCTCTCCTGCTTCTCCTCCTTGTTCCCTCACAAGCCCTTAGTAAATGCAAGTACTAGCCCTTCGCATTTACATATATTAATCTCATCATATAACCTCAAGATAAAATTATTTTCCATATTACAGAGGAAGAAACAGCCTCAGAAAGGTTAATGTCCAAGGTCACACAGCTAGTAAGCAATAAGGCCCCTCTGATATCCACCCCACACCACTATGTAAGGTGCTTTGAAGAAAGTGATGTAAATGAATGTGACCTAGCCTCAGCTTCATTTTTTGTTTGTTTGTTTGTTTTATGTTATGAGTTGGGTGCTCAACTATGAGTTGGATGCCACCCACGTGTCCCCCCTAGTCTCAGCTTCAAAGTAGGATACTCCCTAGTGTGGAGGGTGGTCAGGTCCATGGCCAACAAGGGAATGGACTGCAAGGGTGGGCGGTTAACATACTAAGGGTGTGGATCATTCTGAAAGTAGTCGGGCTCAAGATTCTAAATTGGAATCCTGGTCATTGTCTGGGTGCCTCTTTTAAGTCCTTCCACAGTATCAGAGCTGATGGCCAGGGTGTCTAGCTGTCCTGTGATTCAGAGTGGGAAGAGCAACCTAGTTCTGTGTCAAGATCAGGTTTTGAACCACTGACGAAGCTTGAGTGGGAAATAGGCTAAGTAGACAATAAAACCAGCCTTGGATGGGCCTCTAGTAAGGCTATTTTTATCTTGGTGAAGTCGGTGGCTTCTTTGGCTATTTAAGAACAATGAAATATAAAACTGTCAAGGTCCAGGGAAACTGCTTTCCGCACAGTGTGTTGGTGCCTCAGTTTCCCCTCTCACCCTCCTACTAGGTCATTTGCTCAAACCTCCAAGAACTAATAGTTGTAATCCTTCAAGGCTCATTGGCAAAACAGTCTGGCCTGTCTGAGGACAGTTTTGGCCTGTGTTATTTCATGCTTGGATTTTGGCATTGACCTTCTACCCAAGGTCCCCCATCCCTGCTGTCTGAGCAGCCTGTCTAAAACACAAATCGGACCCAGTACTCTCCCCAGCTTGCAGCTCCCCAGGACCTCCCTGTCCCCCATGGGATGCAGGCCAAGCTCTTTAGCCCGGTGTACAAGGCCTTGTGTGCTCTGGCGCCTTCTTGCCCGAACGGTCCCATTTCCAGCCTTAGCCCACAGTGTCACACTGCTTCTGGTTCTGCAAAACCCCCATGCATTCTTAAACCTCTCTGCCTTGCTGGAGACTGTCTAGAACCCCTTTCCCAGCCTCTTGTTTGCGGTTGTTGCTTGTTTCCAGTTCTGTCTTGGGAATCCTGTTGATAATCCCATCTCTTTGAAGGCGCCACCGAACCTCCCATTCCTGACATGGTTTATTAGTCACTGCCCTTTTCTGCTTTGGTACCTAGATGAGGCTTCCACTGTTACAAGTAGCTGACTGTGTGGTAATGACTTGTTTAACCATCTGATGACCTCCTGGACCCCGAGTTCCATTCATCTTGGTATCACGCAGCTCAATTTACAGGGTATAGGTACTCAACAAATCATGGTGGAAATAAACCTCGTTGGGTTTCTGGAGCCTTTAGCTGGCTGTGGGAGTGGCCATCGGGGCCCCGGTCAGAGGTAGGCAGCATCTCCCCTGCCTCTTCTCCTAACCAGTGCTCGGAGTCTCACTGCTCACGGTACAGCTGATTGTCCTGGAGGCTGCCCCTGTCACCCCCAGTCTGTTGCTGATATAAACCCTTGTGGTATCAAGGAGTTGGCAGAATTCAGACAGAGGCCTTCAGCAGAGTTGGCAGCTACGTGGCCATGAGCCACTGAGAACCAAGCCAGCTTTCTAAGGGCGTGAGCCGTGGTCAAGCCTGGGCCTCCGCCCAGCCCAGCAGCTGTCACTGAAGCCTTCTGCTGGCTCTGCACCTATGTACGCCTTTGTTTTAGTCTGCTCCAGCTGCCATGACAAATAGCACAGACTGGTGGCCGTAAGCAGCCAAAGTTCATTTTCCCACAGTTCTGGAGGCTAGAAGTCCAAGATCAAGGCGTCAGCAGGGTTCGTTTTTTTCTGAGGCCTCCCTGCTTTCCCTGCAGACAGCCGCCTTCTGACTGTGTCCTCACATGTTCGTCCCTTAGTCTGGGTGTCTGTGTCCTAATCCATTCTTACAAGGACACCAGTCAGGTTGGATTAGGGCCCAGCCATAGGACCTCATTTTACCTTAATTACCTCTTTAAAATACGGCCACATTCTGGGGTCCTGGGGTTAGAACTTCAACATAGGAATTTTAGGGGGACACAGTTCAGCCTGTAACCCTCCTTGCCCTCTCCTCAGATGCAGGTATGCAGGAACCTGGCTGTGCTGCCTCTGACCTTTGACCCTACGCTAGGGGTGGCCTATGCTGGGGTGTTATCTTCACAGGAATCTGGAGGGTTGGGATCATTTTTTTTTTTCCCTTTGTGGGCAAGAATGGATTTTATCCAAGACTCAGACGTCTCTGGGCTATAAGAGTGGCTGCCGAAATGCTAATGAATGACTCATAGGCAGATGTCAGCTTGATAAAGGAGGCAGGTAGAAGCAGAGGTATTTAAAGCCTGGAAATTAGGAATAACCTTGAAAATGGGCAGTGGGGCTGGCGTTTGACAGTGTGGTTTCGAAATAGCTCACGGTGTGCATTGTGTATCAGGCTGAACACTGGGGGCAATACAAAGGATTTTCCAAGGGAATTCTGGTCACACTCACCTTTTGCCTTCTCATTGCCTTTTGACCCAACAGTTGCCTAAGATGGGCCTGCACACTATGCTTTTTCTGGGTATAAAAAGGATTGGGGTCGAGGGGAGTGGCCGAGACACTTCGTCTCATGGGGCTACTTTGGTGCTGGTGGTCCCTGGTTTCCAGGCGACAAGCCATGCAGTGATAAGGCCTAAGGTAACAGAGCAGTGGAGCCCTGTCTTCCTCCTTCACCATGATGCCGAGTTTGCCATCGGGAGTTACCTTGCTCAGTGCGGTATCTAGCAATGTAGAGGGCCACTGCCCCCTTGCAGGGGGCCAACATGTGGCATCCTGGCTCCTTTTCCAGAGTCTTCATGTAGCCAGAGCCAGTTGGCACCAGGCTCAGTCAAGGTGGGCCAGAGCTGTTGGCCTTGGGACAGGTATAGCCAGGATGAGCTGGGAAAGAGCAGTGGGGGCTGTCCACCCAAGGATGATCAACCCCAAAGTGAGCTCTCCATCATAGAAATCTGTGCCCACGGTTCTTGCCCAGTGTCCTTGCCAAAGAGTGAACACTGTCCAAGGGACTCATGTAGCTTTTGCCACGTGTGATACCCCGGGTGGTAGACTGATTCAGCATGCGGGCTCCACAGTCAAGCTCCAGGCTTCCAGGTCTAGCCACGTAGAGATCTTTGCCTCTGTAAGCCTCAGCCTCCTAGTCTGTAGAGTGGGGTCATGCTAGCATGTCCCAGGAGGGTTGTTGGGATTTCGTGAGATCACGTGCATGCTCCCCACAAGAAGTGCTCGGCCAGTCATAGGCATTGTTGTCATGGCCGGAGACCGGGCTGCTTCTTTGGAATATCATGGTACATGAGCAGGGGTCCTGAACCCAGGCCAGGATCTGAATCCTGTCTGCCTCACTCCCGGCACCACGGGTGGCCACCAGCGAGCCAGGAAGTGGAGGCAGAGGCAGCTCGGCAGCTGGACACCAAACAGCAATTAGGTTTTCACAGCCTCCCGGGGATCCTGGGCATTGGCTCCACAGAGTCATTCCCGGGCTTTCTTCGGGCCTCACCAAGGCAGAATGCCGGGTGTCACCAGGCCGGCGGACGCACCCATTAAAATGAGCAAGCACCCGGCCTGCTGGGTTCCAGCCTCATAACCCAGACTTGAAGCCTTTCGCTTCCTTAGCCCTCTGCGTCTTCACGAGGGATCCTGTCTGTTGCCTGGGGCCCCCCTGCCACGAAATGCCATCTCTCCCGTCCACACGCAGAAAGCCACCGTGGCGAAATGGCGGTCATGGCAGCTGGGTGCGGGCTGGAGCGCCGGCTGCACTGCTCTCCCCCCAGCGCCTCGGGGGGTTCTCCATTCACATTTGCTCCGGAGCGCTCCATGAGCCAGAGCAGCCGGCTTCTCAGCCTCCAAGTCAGGGAGGGAGCATGGGAGGGCTTGGATGGCTCACAGCAGTGCGTCTCGGGGGGCTCATGATGGCGGTGCCTTCCCCGAGGCTGCCTCGAATGGTGGCCCAGGAGGGAAACCCCAGCTCTTGAGGGGAAGCCCCAAGATGGACGGTGGTCCCCGGACTGCCTCCATCCCACCTTGGTGTTCAGGGAGCCCACGCGGCGGCTCTCCATCCTTATCCCTTTGCTGGGGCAAATTCCCTGATTTGGACACTTCTTCACTCTTTCCCTTCTCTCCCTGTCAGTCCAAGCTGAGTAAGGTCATACACGATGAAGATCACGGCTCTCGGGGATGAAGCCCCTACACCAGGTGCCAGGCAGTGTCCAGAGGCACTCTGCTCGTGCTGGCTCTCTCGTTGGGTGCTCCCAGCGGATGTGTGAGGCCAGCACCTTCAGGATCCCCGTCTGACAGGCGAGGAAACTGATGCTCTGGGAGGTTGAAACATCCCCAAGGTCACGCAGCCAGGAAGAGCCACGGCATTGAACTCATGTCTTCTGACCTCAGACTCAGGCCCTTAACTCCTGTTGCTGCATGCCAAGAGGTAAACTCTGTGGAAGAGGGAGAATTTTAGGCTGAATTTTCTTTTCCAAAAGGAAGTCGGTTTCCCTCTTTATTTTTTTATTTTTATTTTTTTTAACTTTTATTTCCTACGAGACGTGTTATTCTAAATTGGAGTTCCATACCTAGAGCTCCTCTTCGTAGTGTAAAAATAGCCAAGCCAATGGGGTGTCATTGTACAAACTGTATTGGATCATCACAGAGGAACCAGAAAATATGGGCAAGTGAAAACCAGACCACAAAGGACACCCACAATTCCCCCCAGTAGAAAACTCTGGCTCTCTCCTCCATGCATGCCCTTCCTCAGCTCTTCCTCCGCACAGGTATTGAGCTCAATTTTCCATCACAGTGGTGGGGCTGAAAATGAGAACTTAAAGGAGTCAAGATTGGGGAGTAGAAAGGAAGGACAAAGGAACACCAGCTTGGGAGTGTGGCATAAGGCTCCTGGGGTCCTGAAGAGGGTGGGGTCCTGAGGAGGGTGACCCCCTGAGGTCAATGGTTGCTGGGCAGGTGATCCCACCTCGGGGCCCCCCGGAGGATATCCTTGGATTGGATAACTGAGTTAGGTCATGGGTGTTTGGGCTGCCTTTGGCATTGGGGGCCCGTTTTGCCTTGTTTGTTCTTTGTGGGAGGGACTTATTTAGCTGTAAAAATGTGTAGTTCTGCCTCTGTTGGAACCACTCAAGAGGATCTGGTTCAGCGGAATTGACCTTGTAGCGTAGGTCCTGGGGCCCGGCGGGCCTGGGCCTTCACTTCCCAGCGGCTGCCCCTCCACCTGCCCCTGCTGTACAGGATCACGGGCTCGTTGTTACAGATTTTCCACTGTATCAAGAGAAGTCAAAACCTACAGTTTTAATCAGAAGTCTTCTGATTTTTAAATATTCGTAACCAGTTGGTAACCAGTTCTCATTTCTTAAACACAGCCGACCGAATAAAATCTGGTCAGTGGCCCGCTGCTTTATGACCTGAGCAAGAGCACACCGATTCAGTCTCGACTTTCTATTCAGAACCAGCTACTTCAAAATAAGGAAACAGTATACAGCCGACCACGGAACTGTGGCCCATGAGATGTTCTTGACCTTTGGGTGGCATTCAGTGGGAATTGGAACCGGCTGGGAGGTTTTTCTCTCTGCTTCCACGTGATTTGCCTAGAGAAGGACCAGATTTCATCCATCTATGGAACGGAGGCTGGAGCTGGGGGTAGAAGGGCGCAGGGGGCAGAGGCCTGGAGGTGTCGGAGTGGGTGGGTGTGGGGGTGCTTGGGGTGGAGGATGGGGAGGAGAGACTGGCTCCGGATCTTGGAGGTTCTGTCCCGACCCTCCACCCTCAGGCCAGGCCAAGGAGCTGGGACCTCATTCTGGGTGATGGAGAAGCTGGAGAGGATGCTCTCAGCCGGAGAGTGACGTGGTCATGTTTCCAGGGAGTGTCTGAGAATTCAAGCACGCCGCCCTGTGAGGAGTGGTTGGAGCTGGGTGTGGAGCCCAGGGAATGTGGTGGCGGCCCAGGGACCTGGTGGACCTGTTTTGTTCGGCCTGAACAGTGTTTTCAGAAGTGGCATCATCAAGCAGGCCTGATGCTTGGTCACAGGATGAGCACGTAGCACCTGTGGTCTCACACCCCAGCTTCCCATGTTTGTTACCCGCCTGGGGCCTGTAGGCATTGGAGTCTGCCTGTGGAGTAAATTCTGGTGGAGATGACACCAGGGCAGATATGACACTGTGGCTGGAGTCAAGGGAGCAAGTGATGGTGAAGGCTCAGCTAAGGGAGTGGCAGACGGGCCTGTGGCCAGGTGGCATTTCGGGACAGGTGGGCATCGGGGATGCTGGGGAGATAGGCAGGGGCGGTGGCCTGGGCAGAGGGGCAGAGGATGTGCGCTTCCCCATGCAGCTAGAGGCCAGGGCAGCAGGGGCGCATCGGGTGCGGGCCGTGGTTAAGAGTACGCACTCGCGGGCCAAACCAGCTGAGTCTGAATCCGCTCTGCCGTTTATTGCCGTGGATCAAACAAGGTGGCATACCTCAGACCATCCATACAGTGCCTGGTTTACACCAGATGGAACCCTTGGTGGACGTGAGCCATGAGTAGGGACAGAGCAGGCAAACCTATTTTCTGGAGAGCCTAAAATGTCAATAGCAGGAGTTTGAACTTGGTCGAGTAGGGCATGGGAGCTTCTACGTCTGTTTGGGCCAGAAAGTGATGTGATGACAAAGCATCTCCCCTCTGACCTCTTGCCAACTCTGGCTGCCTTCCCCAGCCACCGTGATGCTCTTCCTCAGAAACCCTGAGGTGGGGGAGCCCTGAATAGGAATTACTTTTCTCCCTGGAGATTGGGAGGTGGGTGGAGAGAAAACTCCTAGGGTGTTCTATAGCGGCAGGAACCAGATTTGGCGTTTTTCTCTCTTTCCCCACCAGGCTCTGGCCTTCCCCAGGGCCGGGTAATGTGCACAGCCTCGGAGCTCCGCACAGCGCCTGCCTCATGCTGGGCCCTCAGGAAACACCTGGACAATACAGAACTGAGGAGTACTCGCACAGTACCTGGCCTGGAGCATAGATGCGTGCCTCCTAGACACATCAGGAGCCGCGGCCGACAAGGGGAAAGGAGTCAGGGAAAGAAGAGCGAGGTTGGGATGAGTCTATTCCGCTGTGCCCTGGCCCACTGTGCCTTTCCTAGTCCCGCCGCACCAAGCCCTTAGGATCAGAAAGGGCCTACTCTCCTGATTTAAAAAAGCATGGCCTCCGACTGTATCCGGCAGATAAGTTTCTGCTTTGTTCCAGTGCAGTGATACAGCCCCCTGAGCAATCCATTGTAATCAAGGGTTGCTCAGGAAGTTCTCAGTCGGCTCAGCCGGGAAGCTAGATCTAACTTAGTCTGTCGTCCTAAACGATAAAGACTTCATGTGTCGCATTTCCCCTCCGTGGGGAAAAGGAGGGTTGGGTTCTGTCCTTGTAGCCACCCTTCATGTACTGAGGAAGCGAATACAACTGGGGTATTTGGATTGCAAATTTAAAAAATACATATATATATGTATGTATTTTAGCTATAAAAGCAAGCACAGAGCATAATATTGCAGCCCTAGTGTCTTTTTATTTTTATTTTGGAAGGCATGATTTAGGGGCTTTGTATTTCCATGAAAGCCTCGATTATGTCTGGGGACTCTGCTAGGTGAAGGCACAGCGGCTTCAGCCAGCTTATGGATCGACGCTCGCAAATATCTCCCGTGAGTGCGCTGTGGGTTCCTCCCCCACTCCCAGGCCTGACAGTGAATCCAGTAGCTGCAAATCAGTGTCCTTTATGCTGCCTTAAAGTCTGTCTTCCCCCGAGCCAGTCTCCTTACTCTCCTGTTAGGGGCACCAAGCACCGTGACACTGGATTGCAGAAGGAAAAGATGTGTGCAGTAATGTTTCTAGCCGGTTGACCCTAGCAGGCCTTGTGCACTGATGGTGTGCATCCCCGTTTTGCAGGTGTGCAGGTTGAGGTGTGGAGAGTGAAGCAGACTGGGGCCCATTCGTTCTGTCACTGATGGTGGGCGCTCGGGCAGGCAGGTGTGTGGCTGTGAGCCCTAATCCCACACCCCTGTCACCTCTTCTCTCAGGCCTTGCCCGGCAGGAGCGCTTCTCTGCCCAGACTTGAGCAGCCTTGAAAGTTTCACGAACTCAGAGTGTAGACAGGGAAACGGTAAACTTCCACCCGCTCCCATGGTGAAGGTTAGACCAAGTTCTCAGATCAAGTGTAAGATGAAGCCCTTGGAAACCAAGTGCTCTGACCACTTTCCCTGCCTGGCTCCAAGCCCCTGGCGGGGGTCCCAGCACTTTCCAGGCCATGAGAAATGTCTTCTCAGTTACACTCTGGGCTGACCAGCCTCCCTTCTCTTACTCCGCCCCAGAACTCAGAACCAATAATCAGAAGTCTTAAAACATGGCACCGCTCAGATAACCTCATTTATTTTTTTTTTGAAGATTTTTTATTTATTTATTTGAGAGAGAGAGAATGAGAGAGAACACATGAGAGGGGATAGGGTCAGAGGGAGAAGCAGACTCCCTGCCGAGCAGGGAGCCCGATGCGGGACTCGATCCAGGGACTCCAGGATCATGACCTGAGCCGAAGGCAGTCGCTTAACCAACTGAGCCACCCAGGCGCCCCAGATAACCTCATTTAAACCACTTTTCGGTACCAGTGTCCTCATGGGCTGCTGTCTCTCGCTTCTGATCCATCCCCACTCCAACTTTCTCCAGCTGAAGACCTTTGTCCTGTTCTTCCACCGAGCCTTCCCCAGGCCTCCCTAACTAGTTAGGGTAGTGGCTGCCCATCCACAACCTCCCATTCTCTGTGCTGTCTGTGCCTCCTCTGCTCTCCAGGCACAGAGGCCCTTTCCCTCCCCAGCACCTGCATGTGGTAGATTTGATTAATGTCTTATGGACTGAATCGAGGTTTGCTTTGCGCCATGATGGATTCCTAAAGGTGTTAAGGAAAATGGAATTTTGGTGAGGTAGATAATTTAAAATATGGGCAAGAAGGCTGAGTTTGGCAAATCATCTTCATAGTATGATTAATACCCCTGAGTTCATCCAGTGTCGAGTTGGGTTTTATAAACCAAGTTCCTTTCAATCAGGGTTTAACCTGTTTGTGGATGTCTTTCAGTGTCTCTGTGATGCCCATTTGAGGCGGCCAGGTTGGACAAGACAGGAGGGCGTAGTGCTGCCCTCGGGGTACCGTCTGGCTGGGTGCTGTCGTTTTGGGTGCTGATGTGGGGCACGAATGCGCCTCTTTCTGGTAGTACAAGTTTTGCAAAGGCAGAGACTGTGTCTTTTCTACTCATAGCCTGAGTGCTTCGTAAATAGATGTGAAGTAACATATCTGGGAGTGACTCACCAGGTTCACAGAACATCCAAGGCCCCAGGTGACTCTGTGGGTCACAGTGTAGCCAGCTCCTGGAGCCATGTGGGGTGACAAGGAGACTCATACACATGTGATGGGTCAGAAATAG